TCAAAATCTTCCCCAAAGATTGTTGGAATTATGGAGAGGCAAAATGAGATGGCACGGTGAGGATTGTGTGTCAAGAGGTGTGGAGTCGGTTTATGTTTGCAACCTGCAACATAGAGTGCTGGGAATACTTTGTTCGCTTTTTTTTTTTTTTTGCATAAAAATATTTTGTGTGTGTGTGTGTGTTCAATAGAAGTATTTTGAAAAGAGAATCTGAACTGATGATTACCCTCACTATGTTGGTTAAATGCTTTTAAGGAGTTTGTTTTCTGAAGGAGGTCATGGCATGTTCAGAATTGACAAGGTTCACTAAATGGGTCACCTGCGGTTTCATCAAACCATAAACAAATATTTCCTTTAGAATTTAGCTTTTCATTCCCCTGTAACAAAAAAAAACAAAAACCCAACCTGTTTTTAGAGGCGAAACCTGTAAGGACAAGCCGAGCACAGGGATTTTCTGTCTTTCCACACATTCTGAAACCTCGCCATTGTTTCCCCTCAAAGCTTGAAATGTTTAAAGTACTTGAGGTTTCTCAAAGGGAACAGGGAAGGGCACCTTTAAAAGCACTCTTTTTGTATCGCAGGAAGGAGAAGAAGAGAAGACTTAAAACCTTCATCTCAAAGTCAATGAAGTGAAATAGACAATCAAGGTGTTCTGAAATCTAATTACTGGACTGTAAAGCCCAGGGCTTAATATGAGCCCAGAACCTGCAAGAACAGGATCCAGCACCTCCCAGTGATGTTCCATTTAGATGTTTAACGACTAAAAATACTTATACTGTCTCACTTTCTATCTTTTTTTTCCTTCCTTCCTTTCTTTCTTTCTTACTTTTTTATTTAATAACCTCTTTTCTGTCTTGCCCCTATTCTGGTTTTGTAAAAAGGACAAACTGTTAGTGTGAGGAAGACAAATTAATCATTTAACATCTGATCTGATGAGATGTGATACTTCAAATTCTCAAAACGGAAGATAAATGTGACATGGTGTCTTATTTCTAAACACCCTTTGCATATCTGTAGCGAATTGTCTTTAAAAAAAATCCATCCTCACTTAATATTTAATGAAACTTTAAAATGCTGCAGAAACTTTATATAATTTTTTTTAAGCCTGAATTTTAAAATCTGTTTTACTTAACATTCAATGCAGTACGCAAACTGCTCAGAGTAAAGTGATACTTATTTGTTTAGGTCTGCGTGCTTTAAGGAGTGTGAGCTTGTTTTGTTTTTCTACCACTCTGTTGATGTCATCTTGGTTGTTTGAGGTGCACTGCGGGATCCGGCCTCCCTGCGGAGCCAGGCAGCCGTGGGGTCTGTGTACGTAGGCCGACCACGCTGTCATGTCTCTTTCATCGCCAGCCAGGCTTGGCCAACACGGAGATAAGGAGACAATGACTGGGAGAGCGAGCAGTGGCAAGGTGTAACCACAGCCCCTGGGTCTCCTCCCTGCCGAGTACTTCAAATCCTCATTAGGATTTTCAGCAAAGGAAGAAGGGATTTTCAGGATTAGGGCTTTGTCACAGCTGGCTCCAGGTCGGTGTTTGTCATGCAAGAGCATGGCAGAACTCTGACATATTGCTAACCCCCCTCCTCCCGTCTAACACAGACGCTGTCTTCACCTGGCTCCCGAGGCAGTCAATGTATGTTCCACTGACCTCAAACGCTTGATGCTTACAATTGTTAACCTGCCGCCTTGGCTAAGCGTTTTAAAGTACTTTCTAGTAGCTTTTGTCGGGTGTCCGTTGATTCATGTTGCAGTGTCAGCGTTTGTTGGATATTAATACAGAGTTAACCTTGGAAAACATATTTAGTTTGGTGTTTACAGTCCTAATCCATAACTCTTCTGAACACGTCAGCCATGATTTTGATGCAGCTGTTCAGACAGGAGAGTCGCTGCTACGCTTTAATCTTTACCCTTCATATTTTTGTACAGCAAAAGTACTAAATGGCCTTCCCTGAAGCTATTTGTTCCCTAGTTTGCTTGCATTTTACAAAAAAAAAAAAGTATGTAAAGTAGGTTTCTCTTCTAAAAAGCTCTGACCTGCCAATACTGGTTGTAGCTGGTTCCAATTGCTCTGTAAGAGCTATAATTGCCAGCACTAAACAAAGTAGGCTTTTTGGTGTTTCAGTCTTTTGCTTACAGACATGATGATCTAGCATCTTAGCTCACAAACTGTACTTCAAAAATATTAACTTAAAAATAATATATTCAGTGGACCACAGCCCCAAGACTGTTTAGATAACCAGCATGCATTGGTAGCTTTAACCAGCCAATGTATAATTGGAAGAATAGATCATTTCCCACCTTGAGTGTAAGAGACCTGTTGGTGTAAAACAGGATTTTAGAGATTTATAATCAAGACACAATCATTTGGAGTTGACATTTTAGATATTTTACTTCACCTTTTCTAGCACTTCAGATTAGGTAGCATTGTAACTATAAAATACATTCTCTGTGTATTCTTAGCTTTGCTTGAAATTTTCTTATAGGCTTCCAACAATTCAAAATCCACTATGTTCCTTAGCAGAGTTTAAACATTTAAATACTTAAAGAAGATTCCAGGTATGGGCTGAAGTCGGCTGACCGTCGATTTGCACCTTATCTTGCTGCTTGCACACTGAAGAGTGTTGTTGTTGGCGCAAACTGTCACCGCTTAGGTATTGAGTGTTAAGCGAAGTGGATCAGATCTGATTTCATGAGAAGCCTGTCATCAGTCGGGGTCAGTCAAGCTGTAAGCTTAACAGTTTTGTTAACCAATCTATTTCTTGGGATATTCCCAAATATGAACTGTTTGTTCATATTTTGAACAAACAGTTCAAAATATGAACTGTGGCTATTTCTTTGAGGTCACACTCTCATTACACTAAACAAAAGGCCCCTGTTTCCTGACATGTTGCTCAGTCTCTCAGATTTCAACGTAACATTAAAACTGCCTTCTTCTATAATTCTCAAGACTCTTACTGGATAAGAGTGTTTCAAATGGGTCCCACCCTAGATTAGTCATCTACTTGCATGTTCCTGTCTACCTTATGCTTTACAGCCACAGCTTATCTCACTTTGTTCTTGCCCTGTTAATCAGGGACACTCCTCCAGGTTATTTATTTTTTTGTTTGCGTCTAGGTTTTACATTTGTTTCATTAGTCATAAATCTGGGCTGGTTGCAGGATTTACTGTTAAATGTTCTGATTCATGTGACAAATAATTGCTTTATATGCTGTGAAAAGGACTCAAAGCTGTTTGCATGATGGCAACAAGATAAAATAGCGGCGCCTCTTTAGTTTTGAAATGTTTCTCCATTGGTGGCTTTTACGTCGTTGACATCAAGGACTGCAGACAAACGGAAAGCAAGGACTTCTGATGAAGTGCTGTCTGGAAGGGGCGGATGGAGAGAATGTTTTTGATTATACACTGTATAAGGTCTCTCAAACAGGAACAAGCATGTACAACTTGCGTCTGACAAATGAAGCAGGTCAAAGGGCAAATGCAGGTTTGTTTTGTATTCGCTGGTGTTATGATGTGTAATGTTACAGTTAATAATCTGCAGAGTTCAGGTCGCATGAGATTGCAGCGTGCCAATTTTCTCTCTCTTTCTCGTGAGCCATTGTAGATTGGAATATTTTAGAGCATTATATAAACTGTTTTTTAATAGAATTTCACTGTGGACGTCACAACTCTGATTTCCTCTGCAAGAGAAATTACATCCATTTATCAGTGTGAGCAGCCTGGGTCCCATTCCACTTTTGGGTTTAACAAAAAAGCAGTCAGAAGGACGGAGTCATTGAAGTGGTCTTTGACTGCTTTTATTAAACCAGGCAGATTCCATAGCAGCTGAAACGTCTCACGCAAACAACAGCAATTTGTGTTTAAGGGGTAGATAATTACATTTCCATTGTGAGGAAACTGCTGAAAAACATCCACATGGGACAGCGTTAGTGCGGTTTGGATGGCATGTAAAGAAATACCTACTGTGGGACATGTAACGACAGAATGTGTTAAGAGAAGATGATATACTCCAAGACTCGTGATTTCACAGATTTTACAGTCTGCTCTCATGGGTCGGTCGTAAGATATCCTTTCTTGCCCTTAGTGGAATCCTTTTTGTCCTCTTGCTTTCATTCCTGATTTAGTACAGCTGTAAATCCAGAGAAGGGTCCTGTAAACGAGGGGTGGTGAAACTACGCCCATAAATAAAAAGGATTTAGAAGCAGGGCCTTTTTCAAAGAATTCTAAATTCACATTTATGTGGCTTGTTAACTCATAGGGCTTAACTAGTGCATTTAGTATTTTTTTTTTTTTGCTTTTTTTTTAGGATTTCCGCTGAGGCTAAACTCTTAATTTAAACTCGCACTTAGTAAATCAGCCAAGAATTTCCACTTGTTTAACGATACCTTTTTTCTTTTTTTTTGATGGTCCTTCTAAATCAGCATGCTGAAATCCTTACACGTTGGTTTACTTGATGTCAGACTGAACATATACCAGTTCAAGCTGTTAGTGCTCCGGCACTATAAGTTGACCTCATGTGATTCAGCCTTTGACCTTGTGAGTCATAATAGTGACCCCTGAGTGCTTTTGCATGTCAGGCCTCAGGCTTTTCCTTACTCTTGGATAAATGATGCACTTACATGTTAACGATAAATATCCAATTAAATAATCTATTTTGAATTTGCTTCCTTCAGTATGCAGGCAGACGTATGCCGGTAGGATGTTAGACATAGGCTTATATGAATTCGTAATGGCAGAATAGTCTTTAGTAAAAAGACGTGGGCTGCCCATTCGATAGACTTGGCTAAGGCAGTTGTTTTTGAAAAGAAAAGGATCCTCACTGCTGAGAAAAGACTAAATATTTTTCTAGACCACAAACATAGAAAATAGATCCCAAACATGGGATTAGCAGAGTAACTAGTTAATTGTCTTTGTTTAAATAAATAAATAAATAAATAAATAAATACATAAATGAATAAATGTCGTCCTTTTAATTTCACCAAATCTTGAAGTTGTTAGCAAGGGTATAGCAGAATATCTTTAAGCTATTTTGAAGCTGTTACTTTTTAAAGCTTTTTGTGTCTTGATTTTGGTCACCATCTTATCCATACTGACAGAGCCATACATGGACCGAAGCTCGTGTTTCTTAATTTCCATCAGACAGACAGCTCTCCTCCTCGAAATTCTTAAATTTATTTAAAATATTCAGCCACCAGCTTTACATCCTGACGATCTTCAGATATGTCCTTAAATAGGAACTTCACATGTACTGCCTCTATTCAGAGTAAGTTATTCCAAATCTGGAAGCTTTTTTTAATGCAAGGTTGTTATATTTATTTATTTATTTTCATTTTTTGACTAATCAGTAATGAGCTGAAAGATTCTTGAGATTATATTTAATTGCAAATCATTAAAATAAAATACAGTAATAACTTTCATATTTAGGTGCCTCCGAAATGAGATCTGTTAATGGACATATTAGGATGTAATTTATTTATTTATTTATTTTTTTTGCAATGTAAATAGTCTATTAGACAAGACTAAATTAGTGTTTTGCTTTTGTCCTTTGTCAAGTGTTATTCAACACTATTTGTCCCATTTTAAGTGTCCAAGCAAAAATGGTGTCAACTAACAATCCGCCAAATGTGGATAGCAGTGAGTCCTTGTGGTTGAGTCAGAATGGAGACGGCATAAAGAATTCAGTCAGAGCAGCAGTCGTGTCATCAGGGCATGACTACCCTGTTGGTCAGGGAATTTAAATGCCAGGTGGGGGTCAGTTGAAGCACCGGTTGAATAATGTGGCACAAATGCATACACATGAGAGCAGAGTCTTGGGGAAGAGGAACCACTGCCGTGGGCAGCTTGAGAAAGTGCACTGAGAGAATGCAAAGCAACCAGACAGACCACCGCGTTTTTACGTATTCCCAGTGGTGACACGTTGGGTGCCGTTTTATTAAAATGTAGTGCATCAAACACGTCACTGAAGCAGAGCAGGACATTCGGGCTTCTGAATGTATCTCAAGCCACTGCTTTTATTATTATTATTTTTTTTTATAGAAACAGAATAAATGCTTTAGCCAAGGGTCATCACATACTAATCAAATTCAGCCTATGAAGCTCCAAAAGGCATTCACATCATTTAACTTGTATCAGTTGTCATTTGAAATATTGACTGACCTACATCAATTCCCTTCCGGAGTGACTCAGAGGATTAATCCACATAATTCTATTAATGTCGACTCACTTTAATTGAAATAGAGGGCAAACTTTCTCCTATCCAATGTCTTGTTTTATTTTTGAATCTACAATGTTTTCATTATTGTATTTTTTTTTTTTTTTTTTTTTCTTCGTCAAATCAAATTCAACACTGTAGTAATAAAATGAGTAAAGAGGCCTTGACCTTGTCTGGATAATCTCAAAATGTCTTGTAATTTAATATTGAAATTTACAGTTGACCGTGTTGTAGGAACCATGAGAGGAAATTTACTACTTTATGGTCACTGCAGTCATTTCATTACCAGGATATGTCCTTCCTTTTTTTGTGACCTAAAAATCCCTCTCTCTTTTTTTCCCCCTCTCTCTCTCTCTTTCCCGCTCCCTCTGCACACACTGCCTGGCCTGGGGGCTATCCGATATTAGACAGTGAGATGTCACTCTGTGCTTGTGTGAGTCCAGTCAGCTAACATGTGCAGATGATGGGTAGTCAATAATGCATTATAAAAAAAAAAGGGGGGATTTATGACCTTGATGAGCCTCGTATTGCTTAATTAGGCCTAAAGGTTGATTTACATACAAGTGTACATGGAATTTGATGAGGCTGTGTTATACTGCAGGTGTGGTACATTTTTCTTTTGTCTGGCAGCAAAACTTGATGCTTTGCGTTTGTTCAAATTCTAATGGACAGGGTTGTGAGCCAGTATATGAAAGGGGCTGGGGGAGGAAGGGGGGGTTACATTAACCTTTTTGGTTTCTAGTATTTCTACATGTCTTATTTTATTTGAACCCAATTAGAGTAAGTGCTACAAGATCATATTTCTGTTCATTGCTATTGTGGCCAGGATTATCTCTACAAGCACTAGTTTTGGGCAACAAGGAATAAACTACATAAGGAAAACAAAATCTCTGGTGTAAGTTTCTGTTTAAAGCTGCTAAACAATGTGAGGAAAAAAATATTTTTTTTCTTGACATCTATTCAGAGAGAAATGATGAGATCTTTTTCAGAGTCATGTACCTATATCAGAGATGCTCCTGATAGCCCCCCTGCTGTTGCTATGGAAGTAGCAGAGATGTAAATGAACTGGAGTGAACTTGATGGTGGAGAATACAAATGAGGATGAAATGTTTCTTTTTTTTTTCCTTTGCTCTGGCTCTTTTTTTCTTCATCCTTTTTTCCTACTTCCTTTTCCTCTATTTCGTGTCTCATCTCTCATCGTGTTCAAAGACTAACTAGCATTTAATATCGTTCATGATACTGTAACATGATATGAGAACAGCTAAAGATATATTTGAATTAGATTGGCTATGAGCTTGTCAGCAAAGCCACAGTAACTTTGTGCAAATTTATTTCCTTTCGATACTTGGAACTGGATCCAATACTTTGGAAATTGATTGATGAAGTAAGAATAGAAAAATCTATGTTATTCCCAACTGGGTGGTCAGAAATGACCACCCGTCATTTCTCAAAAAATGACCACACTGATAGTGATATCACTGTATCACTATCACTGATAAAGTGATAGGGTATCACAGCATCAGATTTATGGCAACAAGAGAACATTTGAAGAAATGTTGGGAAAACTAAGAGTCCCCATTATTTTCTTTTTCACAAATTTATTTATTTATTTTTACAGATTATAAAATGTGTTTTAAAGAGTCTATATCGATGTAGAATATTCCAGTCCAGTTTGGTCAAGTTTGCATAATGTGGTTTCATTCTTCTTTCTAAAGTAAAAGAAATTCATTTAAAAAAAAAAGCAAAATGCAATTATATTGTGTTGTAAATTGAATAAAAGTGTCATAAATGTTAATGATTTGTTGTTGTTTTTTTTAAATAAATGTATGTTTAGTGTGGAATCCTCCAGTTTGGGTTTTACTATCTACATACTTCATATTTTAAACTAAAGGTTCTCAAATGCAGTCCAGATTCTTAAGCAACTGGGAAATAGCCCCTCAGCAGATGCTAAGTTTAACTCCTAAGTGTTAGCCAGAAGCGGTATTCTGAGTTAGCATGAAGAGCTGTCATTATTAATCAACTTCATTATCTTACAGGATAACAACTGAAGAACTTCTTCAATTACAACTTTATTTACACTTGGATATGGGTTGTCTCTTTCTTACAGCCTCCATAGGCTAATTATTACATGCCAATGGCAAATTATCCAAATTAGACAATGACACTGTAAAGTATCTTTTAGGACCGACTAGTAGATTGAGAGTGCTACACAGACATCCTCGTGAAAATTGGAACAGTTTTATTTGGAGTCATACATACTGTTTCCTGAGATGTTCATCACAGGTTTGTAATGATCCCCCTTTACAGGCTTTATAGTTAACATTACAACACATTTGTTTGATGATAATTTTACCTATTCCACAATACGTCAGCTGAAAAGAGACTAATTAGAAAAACAGGAGCACACTGTTAAATCAAAAATAAAGGTTAATGTGGGCCAGTTCAGTGGTGTAATTCATCTTTTACAATGGCCTCACAGAGTGAGCAGTCTACCTCATACCCTGCTGTTTGCTGAGCATATGCAATATTTTGTTTCATCTCCTCCCCTACATAGATCTGACTTCTTAAGAATCCATGTTGTTGGAAAGGATATCTCTGGATTATAGAATCAGCACTGTGGGAAGGGCCTTAAAATAATAGTTTCTTTTTCTTTTCAGACCCATTTTACTTGTTCCATAGATTTTGTGGTATGCAGTTGGTGGAGTAAACCAGGGTGACTCAAGCTGCGTCCCCTGTGGTTTCAAGCTAATACTTTAGGCCACACTTTTCTTTCACCCAGTGTCCCTCCAGTGAGCTAGCTTGTCAGCTCAGGAGAGCAGAATAATGGCAGCCGAGAAGGGATGCTAGCTCATTTACAAGCAGCTGGTTAGCTCTCGTCAGAGCAGCTAGGAAAATCAAAGGGCCCGGTTAACGGTAGACGACAAGCATTGGGAGCGTCCCTGTCAGTCTTCTCATTGGCTCTCAACAGAAATTATCTGGTTTCACATCAAAATAATGTGGGGACCCCTTTTGTGTTCTGGGCACAATGATGGCAGCGTTATAGTGACTGAATGGGCCTTTTGATCAGCCTCTGCTTTGCTCCTGGCCTAACTGTGGAAGTATTTGTAACTCAAGTTACAAAGAGTCATTTTAATATGAAAACCATTTACTGGAGGGGAGATACCCCTGGTAAAATGCAGGACTGTTTAATATCTTGTATGATTCTGGCTGAACTTGAATGTAGTAATTTTATGTTTTGTACCATACAAAAACTATTTTGTCTGTTGGATTTTATATATATATATATATATATATATATATATATATATATATATATATAAATTATTATTTTTTTATTTATTTTTTTTTGCAAAAAACTGTTTCTACTGTATGTAGATGTTCCTTACATCATTAGTATTTACATGTGTATCCCTTTGGGTTTGATTATGCCTTGTCTGGCTTCATGGTAGAACAAGATGATCTTAATGACTTCTCATTTCTGTGAAATAGGAAGACAATTTGCTCATTACCTCTGCTTCAGTGACACTCATATGATACCAGATGGTCACTTTCCAATTGATTTGACTCGTTGGCAAAAAAAAAAAAAGAATTAAATCATTAAAGCACCAAAGAGACACTGCATAATTGGTTCAGGCTACATATGGGGGTGTTCTCACAGTTCTCCAAATTGTTCACCTAATGTCATTGCAAAGGTTACTTGGACTAGTAAATATCAGCTTTGGAAGCTTTAAATAGTGTTTTGCCACCACTGTAATAGTTGTGTACCTCACCATAATAGGGGTCCTGTGCCTCATCAAAATTA